TAGGAAGTCGATGGAATCCGTTGACTCATTTAGGTTTGCTTTTTGCTTCCCTGCCAACAAGAGTTTTCCAGCTCTGTCATCTTACTAATAATTCTTTTGGCCCTGGGAAAAGCCTGATGCTCTGCGTGCAGCTATATAAGGGCATGCAGACTGCCTGGCCCTCCACGGCAGCTTACAACTCTCCATGGCTGGGGTGGCGCTCCCCAGCCCTCCTGGGTGCATGCCAGAAGCTTTAACTAATGATTGGCACGTTCAAAGTCATTTTGGCAAGTCAAGCCTGGCATTTGTCACGTTTTTACAGCCCCTCTGGCGAGGCAGAAGTAGTTAACTCTGTAGCTGGCTGGTCTGAGCAGTCAGGTGCGTTTTATCCTTCGTAACTCTGCAGTGAAACTGCTTGTGATGCACCTCTGTTGCTTCTTCTGTGTAGCCGGAGTTGCCCTTTTGGTTTTAGCGGTTGTGTGAAGAGACACCTGAAATGCAAGGAGCAGAGGGCCACGTGTGAAGAAGTGACTTTGGGGCCTCTTGTCTCGAGGAAGTTGTGACTAGCGTTGCTGTTTGAATTGGCAATAGGCTGCATGCAGCCCAAGTATAGTTTTGCTTGCCAACGTGAGTATGTCCATTAATGGATGGCTGCTAAGAGTGACTGCTCATGTTTAAATCCAAGGGCATGTACTTTGCAGCTGTTGTAGCTAGAAGGCTGATTAAAAGGTGCCTTCCAGTAGCCTGAAAGCTCTTGTAGTTAGTCTCTAAACATTATTAAAATGCCTGTCTAAAACTCTGGGGAGGGTTGAAAGAGGAATTCTTTAGGTCTTTCCTCATTTTTCAGCTAGCAAACTCTGCATTGCGCAAGGAACTTCTCTATCTTTACAGGTTTAGTTGCTACTTTGGTATCTTAGTTGTGTCCATCCCAGTGTTTGAAATGGGAATGTAAATGTGCCTCTCTCCTTTACACAACTTATTTATGCAGTTCCTGGCACACAGAATTAGACCCTCATTTTCCAGCTCTGAATTTTCCCTTGAAGCTATGGCCCAGCTCTGCATGCAAAGCATTGATAGCAAAATCTAGGCTCTTGTAATGTTTATATTACACCATGTTCAAGCCAAGCTTCTTGAAAAATGTTGTATTTCATAAATACCTCACCAGATTCCTGCCTTGACTTGCATGCAGTTTCCTTCCTCCCCTTCCTACCAGTACCTCCCCATCCAAACTAGCATCAGCGAAATTACTTTCTAATCTTGGGTCTTGGTTTCTGCCTGGATGAAACGGCAAATGCATGGCTCATTCCCTGGCCCTGTCTTGGTTGCTCTCTCTCCTGTAGTAGGGAAACAGCTTGGAAATGTAAACTGCAAATGTGAGAAGTTTGTATATCCACGTGCCTCCAATTAATTTGCCTGGCACTTGTTCCCAGGCTTGTTTGAGTGTCATGGTTTTGTCTTCTCTTTCTGCACTGTTTGAGTGTTGCTCTCTGCTGGAGTCTCATTTGGAAGGATATGCATTAGAAACCATATTCTAAAATAAATATCCATTTAAGCAGGAGTCTGTGAGATCCTATGGGGATGCCAAAGCCTGCTGGCTTTCACTGAAGACAGGGTGCAATTCCCCAGCAGACTGTTGGACACCTAGCCCCGCCACCGAGGCAGGTCTGGCAGCCCTGCTAGCGTGGCCGCACTCTGTGGCAGGGGTACAACCTTGCTGAGGGGATCGTGGAAGTGATTTTGTGGCTGGCGGTCCTCTCCTCTCCCCCAAATTTGGAAAAAACCCTCCAGAAAGCCACTACAGTCCTACCTGTAGCAGCCTGCTGTGAACTGAAGGCACCGTTGGGTTTGAGCTATCTACTCTGATGCGTGTTCCCTGCGTCATATAAATAAGATATGAAAACCTATAGATAAGATACAAACACGATGAGTCTAACCAATCCGCCCTACTGTCTGTGCCTTGTGCCCACACTGCCCAGCCTTTCAGAAAATAAGTCCTGGGTCAGTAGTGGGGCATAAGGTGAACTTCTAGGTGCTGTTTTTCTTTCTCCTGCCACACTTCAGTAAAAGTGCAGGCAGTGACACCAGGAGCAGAGCCAGGAAACCCTTGCTGAGAGCTGGGACCCTAGCAGTCCTACCGATGACCCGCAGACCGTGGGCTCCACAGGTGGTGTGGTGGGATGGGGCACGCTCCTTGAGAGCCCTGCTAGGCAAAGCCAGGGAGAGCAAAGCCGCCTCCTCTTTGCGGCTTTGCTGGGGCCATAAATGGGCTGTTGAGAGTGGCTGAAGGGCTCAGCTGCAGCTGTTGTGAAGACAAAGGGAAGCTTTATCCTCCCAGCCTTAGAGGGACAACCACGCGGGCTATTTAACCTTTCTGTTTGGATAACTTTTAAACTGGATTGAAAGTAAAGCCTGGAGTGACCTTGCTGCTTCCATTTATATCCAGTGACAGATCAGAATGGCAGCAGGCTGGAAAACAAACTTGTGCTTTTTGCCTTGCTAATAAATAAGGGAGAAAAATCTGGTCAAAAAAACCCCATTGGCTGCAGCAGTTGGCCATAGCTGCCTCCCTCTATGCTGAAAACCAACGTGCTGTGTCACCTCAAATGCATTGAGTGAGGGGCAGCGGGACAAAAGCGAGTGCCCGGGGCGGGTGGAGGTTTCTGTTCTGTGTTCGTATATTGGCCTGCTCTAAGCTTAAATTTGCAGTCTGAATAAGGCCTTTTGGGGCTTCTGAAATCTGATGATATTAAGCTGCTGCAAATGAAAATTTTACCTCAAAAGTACTTAGATCACTGCTAGTGAGAACTGGCACGGGGATGCCTCATGCTAGAAATCAGCTGCTGAACTGTTCTTTCACCTCCAGCCGATGTCCACTTGCTTACAGCCTGGCTGGCAGGGTATTTGATTTCCATATACTTTGCTGTGTCCCCTGTTTTTCCAGAGGAGGTGAAACTTGGTCGCGCGTGATCTCCAAACACTTTCAAGGAATAAGGTTTTGCATTGGTTAATGGGTTGCTCCCCTCTGCAAACACAGTCTTCAAGTGCAAAATACAACCATCCTAGGGATGGCTGTGACTTTGTCAGGCTTGATAGCCGTAATCTGGGTAAAATCGCTCGTTCTTCAGGCACCTTAAAGCACGGGTTGCCAGAAGCAAGGACGGAATGGTTGTTTTATACTCACCTTGGGTATGTTGTGCATCCAGTAACAGCAGCTGTTGAGACAAGATAATGATCAGATTGGCATAGATCTGATCCCAAGCAGCTGTTAGATTCATATCTGTTAGTCCGCGTGTGCCCCAGCTCGCCAAACACCAGGATTTGGGTGACGTAGGTTGTCGGGTATCAGCACTGCAGCTGAGCCCGCAGGGTGCAATAGCCTGGAGTCAAAGGTTTGCTGTACCTGAATGCTTGTAACGGATGATATCTGGTGTGACCTGCGTCTTTGTACTTTCCTGTGAAAGGAGGTACAGCACAGCAGGCTTCAGGTTTCTTCCGTGTAAAGTCCAGAGTGCAATAGATGCAATGGCAGGTCAATACCTGCCAATAGATGCAATGGCAGGTCATTACCCTCTTCCCTGAGTGAGAATGCTGCCTCCTGTCTCCTCCCACTGAGCCACCCTCTGGATGTAAGTCTTAAAATACTATTTGTGCAGCAAATGTCTGGGATATACATGTGCATCACAGTTAAGTTTGGGCTGTTTAAAAAATGTCCTGATATTGGAGGGCTTTCAGAGGAATGGTCTAGACCAGACTGAATTTATCGTGGGTAGCTCTACACCCTGTTTCTCCATTCTTGTCAGTTTTATAAGCCTTTTCGGTTTAAAGTCTCTTTCCAGTTATCCAGTTAATTCTCAGTGGAAGCATTCCTGTTTTGCTAACTAAGTACTTAAATTGTAGGTGGCCATGGGACCCACAAATATCTGGGAAGTACATCTATCTGCAGTTGCAGATTCTACAAAGGGCTCCTGTCAAAACAGGACATGGTTTTCAAAGCTCATCCTAAGAGTTTATCAGCCATCTGGTTGCCGCATTATGCAATGTTTAGCATTGAACAACGGTTTTCATTCAGCAGTACTGCAGTCGCTCGTTCCCTACTGTTAAAAAGTTTGGGAAAAGTGGCATTGTTTAGTCCATCTGAGATGCTAACTACTGTCTGTACTTCTGAGAAATGGAGGCAGCATGTTTCCCATAAAGTATCTCAAGCAAACCTGAGCACTCCACTTCTTTCTCACCACTTGTTTGTCTGTTGTTCTTTGGGACACATAGCAAAACTCCAGAATGGTGATGGTAAAAGTGGTTGGTTTTGTCACAGATCTTGACTTGTGTTTCAGGCTGCTGTGAGTAATTGGGTCAGACCACAGACCAGCAAAGGTTATGCAGACTTTCTCTTGGACACATTATGTCATCTCAGTTCTTAGTCCCACTGCGGACTTGGACCCATTTTTTTCTCATAATTCCCAAAAGCCTCTGTTTGTTCAGCATGGATACCACTGTATATAAATAAGAAGAAAATTCTGGAGACCCAAAACAAAAAATATTTCTAGCTTATCCAAGGCAGCACAAGTTCAAGAACAAGATGTTCTCTGTATAGTCAATACAGACAAGAATCGTTCCTCTTCCTGGCTACCCATAAAAGCTGACACACACAGTAATCTGAATTGTCCCACTTACTAAAGGATCTGCATCTGAGGGATATCTCCAGCTTCTGCTGTTTGGGTGACCCCCAACTCTACTGCCTGGGTTGGAGCCCACGCTTGTTGTGTCGCCAGTGGAGTCCCAAAGGATAAGCCAGGACAGTCACTCCTGAGATACTGTCTTTCTCCAAGGACCTCATCCAACATAACTAAGTCATCCAAGTCATGTGCCTAAAATGAGGCTGTCTAGATTCCTTCTGATGTGGATAGTGCTATATACAAAAGACTGGGGAAATGTTTTCAGCTAATGAACTTCGAGTCTTTTAATAACAGTAATGATGCTCAGTGATGAAAGTAGATTAACTATTAAAAATCTGTGTGTTGCAGAACAGAGTCAAAAGTCTGGTCACCACTTGTAAATGAGGAGGGAAAGACGCACCCTTATAAGATGAATCTGGCCTCTCAGCCACAGGTAAGTAACGGAGTATCTGCATGCTCTTGTTCCTGCTTACTCCTGTCTGACTTCGGAGCAGTTTCTGGCCTGACCTCCAAGGAGCTGAGCGTGTGTCACACCGTTGGTCGCACGGGGGATAGCGTGTGCCCCATACCTCCTAGAAATCACACGACCCTCAGAAACCTTCAGAGACAGACTCCCTCCCTCGTGGTCAGAAGCCTGCTGCTGTGGAGAGCTAGTCGGATACCTTGCCAAGGGTAAGCTGCTTGAATCAGAGGCGTTGTCTCCTGCCATCTGCATGCTCGCACCTACCATAGGGCACAGAAGGCACTGTAGAGGTGTGGCTCAATAAATCATTGATACCGTTGCTGAGCCGGTTGATTTTCATAGATAAGAGGGTAGGAAAATTATTCGTTCTTAGTGTTTTCTGTTGGGGGTTTTTTGTTGTTCTGTTTTTTCCTCTTACTAGCAGGTTCTTACTAGCAGTCTAGCCGTGAAGAAAGCGGAAGAGAATACACCAGCCTTTTAGATTTTTATCTGTGGGGCAGATCTTGTAGCCTCTGTCTAGGAGGTTGGTTTTATTGTTGCCTTTTGGCAGCCTTGCTTCACTGGTCTGCTGCCTCTGTCAAGGAAATGTAGCAGTAACAGTGACCTGTGCAAGGACATTGCCTTGGCTAGGTTTAGAGCATTACACTGCACAAATCTGCAATAACTGCACTAAAATCAGTGGCATTTCTCTGGATTTTCACTGGCGCAGTGACATGGATTCTGGCCCTAGCACACATCCCGTGTGAGTCTTTCTAGCAAAATACGTAGAGATAAAACTAGTTTGACTCTGCAATTAATTAAGTGCTAATATGTCTGTTTGGGTTGGAAGGGACCTGAACCTAAAGTAGTACATGTGCAGCAACACCCTGCCCAGACCTCGGCCTGGGATCTGTCCATGCTCCCTCTCATGCCAAGCTGCTGTGTGTTCCTTGGCTCGAGAATGCGATGCGGCATTCTCCGGGTATGTCATAACTCAGCCAAGGCACAGCATGAGACTGAGCCATTTGGACTTGCGTTGGGCTGGGGCCATGCAGTGGCACCTGCCTGTGACACAGTTGAGCTGAGATCTGGTCTATGACTTCTGCTGCCCAAACTCTGGAGATGTGCTGCTGCAAACCTTGCGATTTAGGGGCTATCTCTTGCCAAGGGAGTGGGGCAGAGTCTGCACTGAGGCTTTGCTGCAAGGCTGCAGAGGGCTATTGTTTAATTCA